CCCCTCCCTGGGCTGCCACCTTACCGTGGTGGAGGGGTTTGAGTGTCCCAATGATCCTAGGAGCTATGCTGTCAGGGGCTTTATGCCCCTAGTAGGGTCACCCATGGCAGACAGGTCCTAGGTGAGGGACCAGACAAAGTGCAGCCCAAAGACTCCAATGATGAGAAACACAAATGGACCTAGTGTTCCCTTGCCCGGACGTGGGTCACCGGGGCCCCACTCTGGAGCCAGGCCTGGAGGTGGGGCACGCGGGCGAGCGCCTGGTGGCCGGGCTTTTACCCATGGGGCTCGGCCGGGCACAGCCCGAAGAGGAGATGTGGGTCACCTTTCCCATGGGCTCACCACCTGTGGGAGGGGCCAAAGGGGTCGGGTGCAATGTGGGATGGGTGGTGGCCGAGGGCGGGGACCCTGGCGGTCTGATCCTCGGCTACAGAAGCTGGCTATTGGGACGTGGAATGTCACCTCACTGGTGGGGAAGGAGCCTGAGCTGGTGTGTGAGGCTGAGAGGTTCCGGCTAGAAATAGTCGGACTCACCTCTACGCATGGCTCGGGCTCTGGAACCAGTTTCCTTGAGAGGGGCTGGACACTCTTCCACTCTGGAGTTGCCACTGGTGAGAGGCGCCGAGCAGGCGTGGGCGTACTTATTGCCCCCCAACTTGGTGCCTGTGTATTGGGGTTCACCTCGGTGAATGAGAGAGTGGCCTCCCTCTGCCTACGTGTGGGGGGACGGGTTCTGACTGTCGTTTGTGCTAATGCACCAAACGGCAGTTCAGTTTATCCACCCTTTCTGGAGTCCTTGGAGGGGGTACTGGAAAGTGCACCTTCTGGGGACTCCCTTGTTCTGCTGGGGGACTTCAATGCTCATGTGGGCAATGACAGTGAGACCTGGAGGGGTGTGGTTGGGAGGAACGGCCCCCCTGATCTGAACCAGAGTGGTGTTCTGTTGTTGGACTTCTGTGCTCGTCATGGATTGTCAATAACGAACACCTTGTTCAAGCATAAGGGTGTCCATATGTGCTCTTGGCACCAGGACACCCTAGGCCGCAGTTCGATGATCGACTTTGTCATCGTCTCATCTGATCTGCGGCCACATGTCTTGGACACTCGGGTGAAGAGAGGGGCGGAGCTGTCAACTGATCGTTACCTGGTGGTGAGTTGGCTCCGATGGTGGGGGAGGATGCCGGTCAGACCTGGCAGACCCAAACGTATTGTGAGGGTTTGCTGGAAACGTCTGGCAGAGTCTCCTGTGAGACGGAGTTTCAACTCCCACCTCCGGGAGAACTTTGAACATGTTCCGAGGGAGGTGGGGGACATTGAGTCTGAGTGGACCATGTTTCGTGCCTCTATTGTCGAGGCGGCTTACCAGAGCTGTGGCTGCAAGGTTGTCGGTGCCTGTCGCGGCGGCAACCCTCGAACCCGATGGTGGACACCGTCGGTGAGGGATGCTGTCAGGCTGAAAAAGGAGTCCTATCAGGCCTTTTTGGCCTGTGGGACCCCGGAAGCAGCTGATGGGTACCGGCAGTCCAAGCGACATGCGGCTCGGGTGGTTGCTGAGGCAAAAACTCGGGCATGGGAGGAGTTCGGAGAGGCCAT